GGCCCCCCCGCCCCGTGCTCCCCCCGGCCGGGCAGGGGGCTGGGGGGCGGCCCGGATGCTGCGGGGCCGAGGTAGAGCATCGGCCCGGGGGGAGTCGCTGCGGGGCTGGGGGGCAGAGGACCAGAAAGCCCCTGTCCTCGGGCACTGGGGAGCAGCCGGCAGAGGGGACCGGCTCCCTCCAGGGCCTGGTGGCCCCAGCCCCGGCATGGGGACGGGGGGGTGGGGGGGACCAGCGCGGCCCCAAGTGCCTCTGGCAGAGCCTAAGTGTGCTTGTTCCTCACCGGGCTCTGCCCACAGCCCGGGGAAGCCGATTTAAAAGCAGAAGGTGGGTGTGAAGGGGAGCAGCAGCCCTCTTCCCCTGTGCCCCGGGGGTTCGGGGAGCGCCTGCCAGGGCAAGGGGGCAGAGAGAATGCCCGGGGCGGGGGGGGGTGTCACAGAGTCACAGCTCAGAACCCAACGTGGAAGCTTTGGGCAGGTCTGGCCCATGCAAGGCACTGGGGAGGAACCCGGCAGGGGCTGGGAGATGGGCACAGCCCCCAGCTCTGTGCCCCGCCGCCCCCAGCCCCACTGAGCCCCAGCCCCCCGGGGGACAGAGGCTGCTTTGCCAGGGCCAAGAGCAGCCCCTGCCTCCCCCAATCCCCCCCGAGTCTGGCCATCGGCCACGCAGGCACAGCGCAGTGGGTGCTGTGGGGTGCAGGATCAGCTGTGAGACCAGGAGAAGCTGCGCCCCACATGCAGCACATCCCTGTGCCCCACAGCCACCTCCGGCCAGGCTGACAGCCCCCTCCCAGCTCGCACCACACACGGAGCCAGCCCTTCCTTTCCTGAGACTGCGACTCCACGGGGGGGCTTGGCCCCACGCTTCCAGCGCCGGTGAGGAGCACCCCCACCTGCTCCCAGACCCCTTGGCGCTCAGCCCCGTGGTGAAGCAGTGGCTCCCAGAGACACGGCGGGGTCCCAAATCCATCGAGAAACCTCAGTGCTTCCGTTTCCTCTTCATATGCACCAGGTGGGCGAGTCACCTCCATCCCCAGCGCCGGTGCCCAGTAGAATAAATATTTCCGCAGGGACCAGCTCGCCCCGGAGGGGAGGGTGTGGAGGGGGCAGTCAGTGTGTGTCCGACGGGGGGAGAAGACAGAGTCTGCCTCGGATCACGGCAGGAACGTCAAGCGGAACAATTAACACCATTCAACTGATGTCTAAAGGAGTCTCCAGCGCTTCCCCATGTGAGCCAGTCACATGTCTCGTACAGCCCAGGCGTCCTGGCGCATCACGTCCTGCCACGACCCAAGGTCACGTCAGCGCCCACTGCCCTGGGCGAACCCCCAACCCTCAAGGACACCCCAAACCCTCAAGGGACACCCCAAAACCTCACGGACACCCCAAACACTCAAGGACACCCCTTGCGCATCCGTCCCGGCCATCTCCGCCCCAGCCTGGTTGCCCACAGGTGAAGCATGGTGGCCCGCAGGAGGAGAGCCTTACCGTTCTCACCTCCGGGGAGGTGGGTACAGGGAGGGAGCGGAGCCCTGCTGGCTGGCGACGATGGCTGTGGAGGAGAGACCTGCGGAGGAGAAGCGCCGTTAGGAGCCGGCAGGGCGGGACGGTCACCCCGCTGTGCTGGGGAGCTGGAAGGCACCGGGTTTGGACACAGCAACGCGCAGCACAAGGGCTCGTGCCACCCAAAGGTGGCTTCGACTCCCCGCCTGCGCCCCCGAGGTGTCCCCGGCCGGCACGGGGTGCGGGTGGTCTCTCACCTGTTGCATAGGGCAGGTTGTACTGCGCCGGCAGCAGCGAGTACCCGAGGTGGTGGTGGTGGTGGTGCGTGGAGAGCAGGCGCTGGGAGGGCGAGGTGCGGGGCCGGTCGGCGCTCCTGTCCGCCCCGCCGGCTCCCCCGACGCTGCTGCAGCTCCCCCCGCCTCCCACCACCCCGCAGCCGCTGCGGTCCCGCTCCTGAGACGTCTTCTCACTTATCTGCAGAGGAGGAAGCAGACCCATGCTGAAGG